AGAAAGAAAGAAAGAAAGAAAGAAAGAAAGAAAGAAAGAAAGAAAGAGAAAGAAAGAAAGAAAGAAAAAGAAAGAAAGAAAGGAAAGAAATGAAGGAAGGAAGGAAAGAAGGAAGGAAGGAAGGAAGGAAAGCGTCGCCTAAATAAGAATATTATTTAAAAAAAAAAAAGAAGTAATCAAACCAGGGTATTTTTTTTAATGTGGTATAAAGAAATGATCATTGAACTGGGCATCAAGAGACCTATGGTGCAGCCCTGACTCTACCTCCAACTCACTATATGACTTTAAGCAAATCATTTCCCTTCTCTGGGACTCAGCTTTCCCATTTGTAAAATTTAAGGATTCAGCAGGCCATTTTCTGCTCTAAGATTCTATGATTCTTTGCCATCAGTGATGTTCTCGGTAGAGTGTCTCACTCTGAATCAACCAGAAGGGATCTGGGCCTTCTAGAAAGTGAACTAAATAATACAACATGGAGACAGCATGGTATACAGCATATGAGACTACACTCTTCCAAACTGTCAACATTGTGTCATATCACAGTAACCATGTCACTCCTCTGCTCAAAAAGCTTCAATGGCTTCCTATTGCCTCTAAGATCAAAACCAAACAATTCGTCCTGGTTTTTTAAGCCCTGTCAGAATCTGGTTCCACCTACCTTTCCAGATTTATTTCACATTACTCTCATTTATGAATTCAACATTCCAACTATACTGAACTAGTTCCCCCCCCCCCCCGCCCCACTCCCTCAAACTTGATATTTGATCTTTGACTATGTGTATTTGCACAGGCTGTTAGGCAGTTCTAGTATGAGCTTCCTCCTCATTCCTGCCTTTCAGAAGCCTCATCTTCTTTCCTAGCTCAACTCTAGTATAATATTGTCTGTGAGGCCTTCCCCGGTCCCCTGAGTTGTTAGTGCTATCTCTCTCCAACTTAACTCATATTTACTTATTTACACACCTTAGCACAGTGCCTGGCGCATAATAGGTGCTGAATAAACGTTTAATGAATGAATAAATGTAACCCTTCAGTCTAACAAAAGCTCCCGGAGAGTAAGGACTATTTCCTGTCCTAAATAATGTGTATTTAGCACAGTGCCTGGCACATAGTAGGTTTTTAGTGTTTATTGAACTGAATTATATACAACAAATTCAATTGTCACCATGAAATAAGTTGGGCTGAGATAATCTGTAGTATTCCTCCTCTAACATTCTGTGATTCCAAATATCTATTATGTATCATGCCCAACACTGTACAGAACACAAGAGAAGCTTCAGGCACAGTCTCTGCCTTCAAAGAGATCACAATCCTGTTGGAGAAATCAACAACTCTGTATGTATAGTTAGAGAATAGTATCAGTTTATCATCACATGCTAAAAGTATGTGGCATGTGTATGTTTTCCTCCCTTCTTTGCAGAGGCAGGGGACTATGGATATGGACTGTTAACGTCTACTGTTAGATACTATTGATGTGTTGGCTGGTTTTGCAGAAATGCTTTTTTTGCTTTATTTCTTTTTATAATTAATTTATTTATCTTTAGTTTTCAACATTCACTTCCATAAGATGTTGGGTTTTAAATTTTCTCCCCCTCCCAATCCTCTGCCCCACTCCAAGGCAGCGTGCAATCTGATATAGGCTCTACTTATACATTCATATTAAGCATATTTTCACATTAGTCATGATGTAAAGAACAATTAGAACTAAAGGAGAATGATCTGCTTTATTTTTTAAATAGTTGTGACAAGTGATAGCTCACTGTGGAGGGGATGTGGGAGGGATATATTTGGATATAAAGGTAACATAAAGATAAAAGACATAATTTTTTAAGGAAAGCATATAGTAAAGACTGTAAGTGCTGAAGGAATTTAGAGAAGAAAGGGATCAATGGGGGCTGGAATGATCAAGGGAGGCTTCCTAGAGGAAACAGGTATTCAGCTGTTATCCTTGAAGACTAGTGAGGATTTGAAGAGATGAAAAGAAGAAGAGAAGGCATTCTGAGCTGAAGAAGCAACATATAAAGAGATGAGGAGGTGAAACTAGGGATGGGAGATGTATAAGAGAGTGATGCCTGAAACAGGACATATATCAAGGAATTCAGTCACTATCCAGTTTATTCAATAATAGGCTAGATTATGAAAGACCTTGAATTTATTCATTCATTGATCCATTCAACGAACATTGAGCTAAGCCATAACTAGCTATTTTGGCACCTGGGGCAAGTAGCAGTGAGAAGCATGCCCTCAAACCAGCTTTGTAATTCATGATGTGGAAATAATACAAGAAGTAATTAAGACAAATTCAGTTGATAGGGAAGGGAAATTAGTTACTATAATAGCTCACAGATGGATGTTATTAACAATGATCTAAAACAGGCACATTAATGCATGGTTGTTAGTAAATCTGTGAATTGGTCTAGCTATTCTGGAAAGCAGTTTGGAATTGTGCTCAAAAAGTGACTAAAATGTGCATACCCTTTGACCCAAGATAGCGCTATTAGGTCTATACCCCAAGAAGATCAAAGAAAGAGGGAAAGGACTCATATGTGCAAAACTACTTATAGCAGCTCTCTTTATGGTGGCAAAGAAGTACAAACTAAGGAGCTACCTATCAATCGGGAAATGGCTAAATGAATTATGTTATATGAATGCAAAGAATACTATTGTGCTACAAGGAATGATGAAGGGGCAGTTTCAGAGAATCTGTGAAACACTCTCATGAAGTGATGTAAAGTGAGTAGAACCAGGAGAATGGTTTATGCAATAACAATATTGTAAAGACAAACAACTTTGAAGGACATAAGAACTCTAACCAACCCAATGATCTACCACAATTCCAGAAGATTCATGATAAAACATGCTATCCCTGAGAAAGATGTGATGGATTAAAGGTGCAAATTGAAACACATATATTTTTAGACATGGATAATGTGAGAATTTGTTTTGCTTGACTATAAATACTTGTTATTAGAGTTTTGTTTTTCTTTTTCTTTTCCCAATAAGGGGAGGTAGGAAAGAAAGAAAATAGATTTTGCTCATTAAAAAAAAATTTAAATTTAAAACGATCTGGTAGCTTCCTATTTTGACTAATTATTATTGCTAACTAGATTTTTCACAATCCAATACCACCTCCTAATATCACCTCCTCGAGGAAATGTTTGTTGAAGTAGCACATGCATTAAATTTTTTTTGCATGCATTAAATTTTTGTACTCCCTAAATTTCAGCTCTCAGGTTCAAAGCTGTTTGCCCAAACCGAGTTACAGCTCTGATGTTAAACATTGATGGTGTTTGTGTCACATGATGGGGTCTTCAAGATATGACACCCAGCTTACCTGCCCAGAGTTTAGGATCATAGAATTTAAACCTGAAAGTGTTAGAGGTCACTTATTGTTTTATAGATGAGGAAACTGAGACTCAGGTTAAACAAGTGACTTACCCAA